GATCTTGGGGCCTGGCGAGGGCCCCCCAGAGACCCAAGGTGCGAAATAACGCCGCCTCGAATCTCTCGAGACGTTGGTCGTGACCGAAAACACGTATCTGCGGCCTCGCGGGCCTGGCCCCTGGGCCGCGCCCCCGCGGACTCGGGGCGCTCTCCGCGGATGCCCTGCGCGGAACGCACTGGTGCGACCGCGTGTCCGCGGGATTGGAGGCGAATGGGGCGGCAGGAGGAGGAGGAGGAGGAGGAGGAGGAGGAGGAGGAGGAGGAGGAGGAGGAGGAGAGGAGGAGGAAGAGGAGGAGGAGGAGGAGGAGGAGGAGGAGGAGGAGGAGGAGGAGGAGGAGGAGGGAGGAGGAGAGGAGGAGGAGGAGGAGGAGGAGGGAGGAGAGGAGGAGGGGAGGAGGAGGAGGAGGGAGGGAGGAGGAGGAGGGAGGGGGGAGGAGGAGGAGGCGGAGCCGGAGACGGAGCCGAAGCCGGAGCCGGAGCAGGAGGAGGAGGTCTCCGCCCCCTGCTCTGGGCCCAGAGGCGAACGCCCGCCAGCGGGCAGGGCGCGCGGGACGCACGGGGCCGGGCAAGTGCTACCGCTTGTACACCGAGGGCGCCTATAGGACTCCACGCCGCGCCGAGGGGCCTTCGACGGGGCCTCAACGACGGCGACCGACCGGACCGACCGACCGACCGACCGACCGACGACGACGCCGACGTTGCCGGACGACGACGACGACGACGACGACGACGACGACGACGACGACGACGACGCTAGACGAGGACCACGGCAACGACGAGCGACCGACGACGACGAGGACCGCACGCCGCGGCCGAGGTCTCCGGCGGGGCCTGTGGCGTCCGCTCGGCATTCGGCTCATCGCCTCTCGGCGGCGGCCCTCGGCGGCGCACTCGGTGCGGCCCGCCCTGCGGCGGCCTCGGGCCAGCCCCGGCGACCTCGGGCGGCCCGACCGGGCGCTTCCGCTGCGCGGCCTTGCGCGCGCAGGCGGCGGCGGAAGCCGAGCCCCGCCCTCGCCGATCCACGACCCAGGCAGCACGATGGGCGGCGGGGTCAGGGGGGGGGATGCGTCGAGCCGGAATCGGCCGTGCATCGGCGATCCACGCCCCCTCGCGCGGGGTGGGCCATCGGGCCCCTGACGGCGATGCAGCATCGCCGACAGGGGCCCGATGGCCCACCCCGCGCGAGGGGGCGTGCGGATGCGGCACCGCGGGCCTGTCGCCGAGCCAGCGGCGCTGCACCGCCGATTCCAGGTCGCCGTGCCCCGCCCGGAGCCCCTCCCCCCTCGAACTCTTGGCCCCCGAGGGCGGGCGAGGGTCTCGACAGAGAGCTCTCCCGCGGCCCGACGAGGGCTCGGCAGGCCTCCTTGGCGGAGCGCGGAGGACCCAGAAAGAGAAGCTCCATCGGCGCAGGCCGCAGAATCACGCCGCGGATCGGCGGCGAGCCTCGGGGGAGAAGTGGGAAGGGGTGGGCCCCCGCGGAAGCTGGGCGAGGGCTGGCAAACCCGTGGCTGCTACGACGGTCTCCCCGGAAGAAAGCACAGTTTCCCGGAAGAAAGCTCGCGCGCACGAAGTGGTAAACAGGCGGCTTCCCGGAAGAATAACAACCAGCAATTTCCCGGAGCCTCCCTTTTAGCAGCCGCGGGTCTGCCAGCTTTCGCCCGGCTCCTGACCCTCGCAGAGGCTCGGAAGTCTCCCGGCATTCCGCCAAGTGTCTCCGAAGCTTTCCCCGAAGGCACAGAAAACCTCTCAGAAGACCGGATGCCTTCTGAGAGGCCCCGCCGCCTTCTGAGAAGGCCTTCTCCTTCTCATTCCCCCCTCACTCACAGGTGTACATGTAGATATGCCTATATATACACATATAGATATGAATAGATACGTACATACGTACCGTCATCCATACATACCTTCATATGTCATACATCCATACATACATACATACATACATACGTACGTGGGTGCACACACGCATGCACGTACCTCAATACGCACATACATACATGCATACATACATACATACATACATACATACATACATACAGACATACAGACATACAGACATACAGACATACAGACATACAGACATACAGACATACAGACATACAGACATACAGACATACATACATTCATACATACATACATACATACATACACACACATGCATGCATACATACATACATACATATATACATACATACATGCATGCATGCATGCATGCATGCATGCATGCATACATACATACATACATACACACATACATACATGCATACATGCATGTATCCATACATGCATACAGACAGACCGGTATCCATACATACATGCCTACATGTTTGCATGAATGCATACATACCTACATGCATACATACACACATACATACAAGCACACACCCATACATACATACACACATGCATGCATGCATACATGCAGACATGCATGCATACAAACATGCATACATACCTGACCACACCTGATTGGATTGTATGTATGCATACATGTACATGAACATATACATTTACAATCCTACGGAATAGCTTGACGGACTCGGATCTCAGGAATGAGATGTTGCCCACCTCCGTTCCAGAGATCCAGCGGACGAACCTGGCGAACGTCGTGCTGCTCCTGAAGGCCATGGGCGTCAACGACATGCTGTCGTTTGACTTTATGGACCCCCCGCCTGCTCGGGCCTCAGCGTCGCCGCGAGCGATACTTGACTTGAGGTGCTTTCACTGCTTGCTTTCAGTGAGAGCGGCACGGCAGAGACCACTGTTCCTCCTCCTCCGCCGCCTCTTCCGCTTCCTCCCCCTCCTCCTCCTCCTCCTCCTCCTCTCCTCCTCCTCCTCCTCCTCCTCGTCGTCCTCGTCCTCCTCCTCCTCCTCCTCCTCCTCCTCCTCCTCCTCCAGAGATGAGCGAGGGCATGGCGAGTAGAAAGGACAGGCTCGTGCCAGACGAGGCAGACTTGCCCGACGCACGGTGCCAAAGGAAAGTTCGTGAGGCTTGCCGCGAGAGGAGCCCTGCGAGGCCATGCGCGAGTTGGACTGCGCACGCTTTCGGGCTGTGTTGGCATCGTTGGTGCAGCAGCTCAGGTGGAGACGCTGATCAATGCGATGGAGAACCTGTGGACCCTAGGGGCGCTGGACGACGAAGGTCTCATGACGAAGCTGGGGAGGAAGGAGCGGCGCTTTCATTGACCGCCGGCGCGTGCACCGGGGCTGCTTCTCGCTCAAAAAATACGCAGCATTCAGCTTACAGCTATGGGTGCCACTGGCAGAACCATGTGTACAGTCGGACCGAGGTGTAAGATCGAGGTCGGTTCGGGGAGGGTACTCTAGTGTTTTTTCATGTCTGTTTGGTGTTCTTGTTCATCCTGGGGAGGTTGCCCTTAGATGTTCTAGTCGTTTCGGCCGACGGGGGGTCTCATGCTCTTGAAGGATGTTTTTGTCTGTCCTAGGTCCGACTGCATGCCGCGAGGGTCTGGGGGGCGGAGCGAATGTTCGGATGTGAAATCCTCGAGGTTGGGCCAGCGTGCCTCTCGGATCCGCGCAAAAGAATTGGGTACCGAAAGGATGGGTACGATGCCCAACAGCGGCCGCTGTCGGTTTTGGACAACGTTTACTGTTGGGCCTTGTACGGACTTTTTCCGTGCCCAGTTCGGGCGCCCAAAGTCGGAGGTCTGGTGGCTCGGGACGCGGTGTTTCCGCCGGCAGCGAGTTTGCTCGTGTTTGTCTCTGGGAAACGTAAGACTCGAGTAAGCTGGAACTCGGGATTGCCGACGTTTTGTGACAAGCGCGTGTTGGGTTTTGACGGTCCAGTGCAGCGGGAGCCCCCCGAACCCGAGTCTTACGTCCCCCCGATTGTCTCGGAGGCGATTCGTGGGGCGAGCAGCCCAGGCGGGAACAGTACCCCTGCATCGTTCGGACAGGTGCCTCGTGTTTCACGGCAAGGACCGTCGAGGAGCGCTCGAGGCCATCTTGCGAAAAATACACGCTCGAAGTCGAACACGGCACGGGGAACCGGTCGTCCGAGCGATGGCGAGATGCCTGTATCCAGGGGCGCCGATGGTCCATGTCTTCGGCGAGGCTCTCCCGGCGAATCCGCGGAATGCCCGTCCCTGGTCTCGGCCTCCTCGACGGGGTCGCACCAGATGGGGTTGGAGGATCGCGCAGCATCGACGATGCATCGCCGATGCATCGGCGATGCAGCTCGATGTGGAGACCGATGTTCTCCTCGCCGGCGCCGCCGATGCAGCGTCGGCGTCGCCGATGATCAATGCATGGCCACTGCATCGGAGATGCATTGGCGATGCATCGGCGATGCGGCGCAATACTCCGACCTCATCTACTCGGACCCCGTCTATATGCGGCGAGCGAGGGGGGGAAATGAGAAGGAGAAGGCCTTCTGATAAGGCGGCGGGACTTCTCAGAAACCCTCGCGCCTTCTGAGAAGAAGTTTTTGTCTGTCTTCGGAGAAGGCTCAGAACACTTCCCAGAAGGCCCGGGGACTTCCGAGCCTTCTGAGAAGGTCCGCCCCTTCTTTCAGACGATCGCAAGCATGCATCAAGGGGGCGTGGATTAGCGTCGGGTCCCGTTTCAGTGGGAAATCGCACATTTCCGCCGCCGAGCGAGGCGGCACCGGCCGCATTTTGGGGAGGGCACCTCCCCCGATCCACGGATTTGGCGACCGCGCGCCGAATCCATGGATCACTAATCCACGTTTGCGCGCCGCCGATTCTCACTTCCCCCCCCCTCGGTCGCCGCCGATAGGAGGCCTCTGCCTAGGCCCTTCGCTCCTGTCGTCGCCGCCGGCCGTCGCTCTCCCGCCCGTCGTCCTGGTGCAGCGCTCGGGTGCGGTGCGGCAAGCTCGCGGTCGCCGCGGTGCCGCGGAGGTGTTCTGGGCACGGGCCTCCCAAGGTGTTTGTTGTGAGTCTGGCATGTCCCTCGACAGGAGGAATATTCAAAAATAGTGAAAATAGTATGGGGACGATTTTGTTTGACCATTTTTGGCCATGTTTGGTTGTTTGTTCTACAACCAGCTCCGAGCTTATATCCCATGCCATCGAGGAATGACGAAAATTTGGCATCGAACGGACGTGTGCTTTTTTGCTTCGGCGAGGACCATCGAGGAACATCCTGGACCAACCAGCTCCGCAGATGTCCCAGCGCATCCAGGAACAACAAATATCGGCGGCGAGCGAGCGGGGGGGAAGTGAGAGGGAGAAGGCCCTCTCAGAAGGCGGCGGGACTTCTCAGAAGGCCTCGCGCCTCCTGAGATGTTTTCTGCGTTTTCAGGGAAGGCTCAGAACACTTCCCAGAAGTCCCGGGAACTTCCGAGCCTTCTGAGAAGGCCCGCCCCGTCTCACTTCCCCTCCGGGCTCGCCGCCAAAAATAGTGTAAACGTCATATTCCAGAGCTCCGCGGCGATTTCTGGGATCGGCGCTCGACCACCCTGCCCGGCGCGCGGAGGGCGCCAGGGGCGGCGCCAGAGGCGCTGCCAGAGGGGGCCTCAGCGCAGATCCCAGCAATCCGCGCGCACCGCCGAAAGTCAATGTTTCTGCCGTCTCTTCTGCGTCGCAGGCCGCTTCTCCGAGGCAATGTTCGCACGGCACGCCTCTGATCTGTTGGCGGGCGGTTCGAGAAATCCGCGACCCGATGGTCTGTCACAGTCAACCCGCACAGGGAGGATGGGCAACCTTCCCAAGGCTCCCTTGCATCCATCCTTGCCTCCTCGGTCCAGCCTTGGCCACTTTCGTCGGCCCCGCCCCGCTCGAGAAGCTTCGAGATGGGCGCCCAAGGCCGTATCATCCTTATCGTGCGCCCTTCTGATAGGGGCCGACAATAGCGAGCGGGGGTGCCCCAGCGCTGCTTCGAGGAATGCGCGCGGATCCGAGGCGCCGCCGACCAAGCGAGTGGCGCTCCGCTTCTCCGAGGCAGTGCTCGCACGCCGCGCCTCTGATCTGTGAGCGGGCGGTTCGTCAGTATCGGTTAACCGATCCCCGTCCCCAACCCCGTCCCCTTCGAGACCTCCACCAAGTTGCCACCCCAGTTGGGGATCACCCCTCGAAGCCCGAGAACAACGACCCATATCCCCATCCAAGGGGGTAAATCGGCCAGCGGGGCCCCGGCCACTCCGCCGGGGATGATCGGTTAAACTCGGGACGACCGACATGGGTACAGAGAGAATGGGTACAATGCCCAACAGCAGTTCCTGTTCATTTTGAACTGGACTCGCTGTCCGCGCCGCCGCGGCCTGTCTCCATTCGCGACAGAAGGCTGCCTGCCGAACAGCGGCCGCTGTCGGTTTGGGACAACATGGGTTGTCCGGCATTGTAACCATCTTTTTCCGCACAGCGCCGGTTTTAATACATGCTCCGCGTGCGGATCAGATATTAAACATAAAGGGGGGTTGGCATTAAAAGCAATGATGAGTTGATGCATTCATTTTGTAGTTATTAATCATGTATTAAAAATCCAATGCATTAAAAATCCTACGTATTAAAACATGCCCTGTACCCATTTCGGGCGTCCAAATAAACGATACTCAGTTCGAGAGGTCCTCGATGCGAGGACCTCTTTGCGGGCGGGGGTGCCCCCTGCGCTGCTTCGAGACATCCCGCGCGGCTCCGGGGCGCCCCCGGCCCAGCGGGCGGCGCTCCGCCCGTCGGCGACCTGGATCCGGCGCGTGATGCGAATTGGAGGAGGAGGAGGAGGAGGAGGAGGAGGAGGAGGAGGAGGAGGAGGAGGGGGAGGAGGAGGAGGAGGAGGAGGAGGAGGAGGAGGAATAGGAGGAGGAGCAGGGGGAGTCGGTGGGGAGGGGGGCACTCCGCATCACGTGGCCACAATGCCTCGGCCCGGCCTGCCCTCGCGCGATTCTCGCGCCCGGCACTCCGCTCTGCGCCCTCTGTTCGCACGGCGCGCGGGGCCCTCGGCCGCGCGGCCGCGGCCGCACGGTGGAGCGCCGCGGGCACTCCACATTGTCTGCGGACGCGAGGGCCGCCGGGTGTTCGACAGGCGAGGGACGGTCGACATGACGGGGCGAGGACGGGTCCTCCTCCTCCTCCCTCCCTCCTCCCTCCTCCTCCGCCCCCTCCTCCTCCTCCGCCTCCCCCTCCCCGTCCTCCTCTTCCTCCTCCTCTTCCTCCTCCTCATCCTCCTCCTCCTCCTCCTCTTCCTCCTCCTGTGAATCCTGAAGCGCATCCTCAGTCTGAGCCAACTACAGCCAACCCGCATGGTAAGGATGGGGGATCTTCCCGAGGGTACCCTGGCAGTCATTCTTGCCTCCCCGGCCCACACTCGGCCTCTTTCGCTGGCCAGCCTCGCTCGAAACACGTTCCCGTGGGACTTCGAGGCCCTTGCGTCTTCACCGCGCATCCTCGTGATACGGGTTGGTTGCAGCAGGATATCATTGTCTCCCTCACCCTGTCTGCTGACTCGGGGGGGGCAGGGAGGAGGAGGAGGAGGAGGTGGAGGGAGGAGGGAGGAGGATGATGATCAGGAGGAGGAGGA